TCTCTCTTTTAAGGTAAAAGGCACATATTTGGAAAGCAGAAATGGTATAGATGCCATGCTTGATCAAGATTACCAAGTTGAAAAAGAAATAAAGACATTTCTTTAGAGTATATAGAGAGATAAAGCCTGTACAGCCAGTGGTGAGAGAGAACAAAGCAAGAAAACACAGCATGGTTCAAAATTGGGAAGGGTGTACACTAGGGGTGTGTCCCATTTCCATAACTTTTCAATCCATATGCAGAACAGATTATCCAGGAGGTTGGGCTCTATGAGGAGAAATGTGGCAGCAGGATTGGAGGAAGACTCATCAACAATCTGCTTTACTCAGATGACACAACCCTGATTGCTGAAACTGAGGAGGACCTGAGCGCTTGCAATAAAAGGTCAAGGACTGCAGCCTTCAATATGGGTTGAAGCTCAACATCAAGAAAACATTCTCACCACTGGGCTGATAGGCAGCATCATGAAAAACGATGCAGAGATTGAGATTGTTCACAGCTTTAGCTTGCTTGGCTCCACAATCAACACTCTTGGTACCAGCAGCCAGAAAATCAAAAGATGAATTGCATTGGGGAAGTCTGCTGTTAGAGACCTCTCCAAAATACTAAAGAATAGCAATGTCAGTCTGGAGACTAAGGTGCACCTGATTCAGGCCATGGTCTTTGCAATCACTTGCTATGCATCAGAAAGCTGGACAATGACTAGGAATGATAGAGAATAAATGAGCTGTGATGCTGGAGAAGAGTATGGAATATACCATGGATTGCTAAGAGAACAAACAGGTTTGGCCTAGAGAGGGTAAGACCAGGCTGTTCCTTGGAGGCAAGGATTCTGAAGCTTTACTTTGGACATGTTGCAAGGAGGGACCGGTCCTTGGAGAGGGACATCATGCTTGGGAGAGTGGAGGGACAGCACAAGAGAGGAAGATACTCGCTGAGATGGATTGATTCAGTGACTTGAGTAATGGGGTAGGTGTGTCAGAGACAATAAATTTGGCACAAGATAAAGCAGGGTATACAGCTGTTGTACACTGGGTCATTATGAGTCACAGGGGACTCAATAGCACATAACAACAACAACAAAAGCCAGTGCTGCCCTGAGAGAAGTTCAAAATGGAAAACAGAGGAGTCAGCAGAGCTATCTTTTTCTGTCATCTGAAGAAAGATGGACAATCTCCTCTGGTATGACTTAAAGCTCAAAAACACAAATGAGGGTCAGATTTTGAGTTTGCTCTGACTGGCTTAGTGATAAACTGCATTGCCACCCTAAAAGCACACAGTTCAAATCCACCAGCTGCTCTGTGGGAGAAAGATTGTGGTGTTGGCAAAGAGCATTAAATGGATGGCCAAGAGACAAATCTGTCTTAGAAAGAGTACAGTCAGAATGTTCCTTATAAGCAAGGATAGTGAGACTTTGTCTCACATACTTTATGCATGTTGTCAGGAGGAGTCAGTCCTTTGAAAAGGACATTATGGTTGGAAATGTCGAGAGAAGGTCAGTAATAGCAAGGAACACACCATCCACAAGATGGGTTGATACAGTAATACAGCAAAGACAGTGACGACGTGCAAGATTGGGTAGGTTTTGTTCTGTTGTACATATCACAATGAATTAGTACCAACTAGATGGTACATAGCAATTAACATTATAGGCATCTATTGAACCGCAAAAATATTATATTGGACCAATCTTCTCTGTAAACTTTTTCTTAAAACAGAGGAAAATCTTTAAAAACAAGTATTATGTGAGCAAAAGATAGAAGAGCCAGACAGAAGAGAAGTATCCTTGTATATGAAGCTCAGAAACTAATGCCTGCTGTCAGAAGTTCCTTGGGGAAAGGGAAGGCTTAATGTGTTTGATGCTGATCAAAAGGTTAGAGGTTCAAGGTTATCCAGCAGCACTTTGGAAAAAAAGCCACACAGTCAGCTTTCAAAAAAATCAGACACTGAAACCTCTGCAGCAAAATGGGACTCTGTGAGTCCAAGTTAACTGGTTCTGGTGGAGAAAACACTCTAGCTCTATCTTCATCTGGATGGCGTTGCAATAGTGTCAACTAAAACACTAATTGCTGTCAAGCTGGAAGATTTAAAAATTTGTAAATTGGAGATTGTTTTCTCTTTTCCCATTGGAACCCCTACCAGATTAGAACCACCAGAGAGGCACCACTTTGAGTTACAGCACAACTTACTCCCCACTAGGCCATTAGTGCTCCTTGAGTTTATGGCTACTAGAAACAACCAAATTCAAAGAAATTGAAATGTAAGGTTTATTTTGAGCAGTTATTCCATATGTCTACAAACTCATTGCCGAATCATAGCTAACGCTCCAATGGATTTCAGAGGCTGAAAATCGCACAGGAGGAGACTGTCCAGCTTTTTCTGAAAGAGCTACTGATGGATTGGAACCACTGGAGAGGCAGGGCCTTCCGGTTACCTGTGTACCTCCCTACAGACTATGTCACCAGAACCGTAAGTAAAATTCAATGAACTGAAGATTTGTGCATTTCACATTATGTAAATGATAGTAGTAATAATAGTCCCTAGCTACCTAATATTCTTCACATGGGCCATCCCACCAACTGAGATTTCTTTTTTTTTAAATTAATTTTAATGAACATTTACAGAGACTTTAGATTTCCATTCATTCATTGTTGCACTTTTCTCCCTGCCCAATCTCCTCCCTAGTTTGCTCTTCTCTTTGAAAAGTGAAAATTTAAAAAAAAAAAAAATTCTTTCATTGTTATACAATCCCTACCCCCAAGTCCACTCCACTATGCAGCCCTTGCTCTGGACTCTCATCATGACAATAATACCCAATCATATATGTCCCTCAAACAGTTCTCTCCCTCACCTGTTTCAGTGCAGTGTATATAATTTATCCCATCTTTCTCAGTCTCCCCCCAACCCCGATCTCAGTCCCATTTTACAACAGTGGTACTATGCAAGATTTGACCTTTTGTAACTGTGATATTTCACTCAGCATAATGTTTTCCAGTCATCCATTTTGAATAATATTGCATGAGTTCCTTGTTTTTCAATGCAGCATAGTATTCCATTGTGTGAATATACCAGAGCTTCTCTATCCATTCTTTTGTTGATAGGCACATGGGTTGTTTCCAACTCTTTGCTATTGTGAACAAAGCCTCAATAAACATGGGTGTGCATATATCTGTTTGGGTGGCAGTTAAGGTTACTTTGGGGTATATTCTCAGTAGTGGAACTGCTGGGTCAAATGGTATTTCTATTTGCAAGATTTTGAGAAAACGCCATATTGCCTTCTAACAGTGGTTCCATTTTCTCCACAACCTCGCCAGCATTTGTTGTTTGCCCCCTTTTTCCCAGTCCTTCCACACCTGGGACCAAGTCCTGAGAGCATGCTAGAGGCATGACTTTACTGACTAGCTCCTGCACACCTCCCTTGGCCTTCTCTGGCCCCTTTTGCCTCTACTCTCTTCCCTCTCCCAACACTCTTCCTTTTCCTGTCCCTTGCTTGGGGTGTGCCTGCTGCAGAGGTTAACGTGTGCAAATCATGCTTATCTTTGACACATTCCCTCCCCTTTTTATTCCCTCTTCTGATCCCTGGACTTTATGCTCCCTGGACTCCTAGACTGCCAAGCTTCCTTGGTTTCAATCTCTTGTAAAAAGAAAACTTCTTGAAACCGTTAAGGTTTCACCTTCCAGCTTGTTGTTGTTATGTGCCGTCGAGTCCCTTGCGACTCACAGCGACCCTATGTACAACAGCCCTAAAGTCTGCTCTGTCCTGTGCCAATCGCACTGTCTCTGACACTCCCATCCCGATTATCCCAGTCACTGAATCAATCCACCTCATAGAGGGCCTTCCCCTCTCACTTTGTATATAAAACCAGACCTAGCTCAGTGGAGACTTACCTCATCTGGATACCTTCATTTTCATCCCACAATTTATAGCTTTGTCCAATGAATGGCTCTGTCCCTTCTCCCACTCAATTGAGGGCTTCAATCTAGCCTTGTTTCCTTATTTCCTCATCTAGGGCCATCATCATGCCATGCCTCCATGCCTGAGGCAAAGGATTCAGAGCCCCCAAGTTAAATTTGGCAAGCAGAAAGAGGAAGGTAGTTCCTAACCTTTAATAACGAGTTTGTAACCTTTAAGAATTTGGTGGTTTTTTAACCTTAGAAAAGTGCACAACCCATTCCCAGTTTTAAACTTCCAACCCAAGACCAAGTATCTGCAATTAAACGCGAGGCAGTAGTGCATTTTAACTCTGTATTTTCAAAGCAACCCCAGTGTAGGGTTCCCCCCCCCCCCAGTTTTGAGAGGAAGGGGGTAAGGGACAAAGTCATACTACTCAAGGCCGCCAGGATTTATAGCAGTAATTTCCCTAACAAAATGCCCCCTTTTAGGCCCGCCCTTCATAGGTCAGGGTCCTACCGTGGGGGTAGTTAGTTGTGCCACATTCTTTCCGGTCACTTCCCTGGTTAGGTCATGGGTGGGGGCTTGTAGCCACTTGTCTCTGCTGGGGCAGGGACTTCAGGAGAGACAGATATAAAGAAAGGCCCAAGGGTGCAGAGGTAAACAGGGCAAACGGAAACTCGGCCTGTTCTAGGGCTTTGGCCTATTCGAGGCTTGGCGAGCCGCCCAGATGTTGCCAGCTTCCGCAGCACGCGCAAAGTGCGCGAAACTATTTCTCCAAAGCAGCCGCAGTCCCCACAGATAGCCACCGAAGACTGAGACCGCTGTGCACTGCCCGAAATTCATTGCCGGCCCCAGGCGCGGCCACGTGCGCCCTGCCGGGATTGCACGCTCCGCGCGCCAACCCGCTGGGCCCCCGCAGGCACGCGCGCTCCCAGCGCGCACGCACAGCGGCAGCCCGCCCGCGCCCGCCGCGCCCCGCCCCCCACGCCCAGCTCCCGCCTTCGCCGTGCAGGCCACCGACCCTCCATTGGCTGAGTGGTGCGTGACGCGTGCTTCCAGCCCCGCCCCTCGTCAGTCACTCGGCGGAGGCGGCGCTGGCGGGCACTAGTCTCGTCCGGAGACTGGCGACGGCAGCAGCGGCGGCGGCTGGAGCTCGAGCCCCAGAGGCTGAGGGAGGGCGCGGGGGAGGGAGGGGGGCCGGTCCGCGACGACTACCCGGACCGCGTTTCTTCTCCGAGCAGTGCCTGTTTCACCTTTAGGGGAGACGGGGGAACAGCCCATCCATGACCATGGGCGACAAGAAGAGCCCAACCAGGTACCTGCTCCGGGCTGAGGGGGCGGAAGGGGAGGAGGACGGGGCGGGCAGGGGCCGGCGGCGACTAGGCCCCGGAGCCGTCCGGGCGGGGGAGGCGCTGCTAAGATGGAGATCCGGGGCGGGGGGAGGCGGCGGCGGCATACCTGGGCAGGCGGCCGTGCGCGCCGCAGCCATGGCGGCTCCTCCTTAGCCTCCCTCTGCCGCCGTGGCCGCAGCTCCTCCCAGACAAAGGGAGATTTAACCAGGTGGGGAGGGAGAGGCGCGCACTGGGAGAGGAAGGAGGCCCACTACCCCCGCCGGCCTGGCCTCCCTGCCTACTCGGCCCACGGCGTCCCGGCCCCCCGCAGCTCCCGAGCCCGTCGGCCTCCTGCTCCCGCCGCGGCCCTTCCCGGCGTTGCCGCCGAGTCCGCGGCCACGGCCCCGCCCTCGCCGCTGTCCCATCCCGGGGTGGTTGGTGGTCGCCGCGGAGTTTCTTCGCGTGGATTCCGCCGCTGACTCGCGCTTGTGCTTTGCTGTCCCTTTTTTTTTGGCTGCCCGTCCTAAGGCCGAAGAGACAAGCGAAGCCTGCCGCCGACGAAGGCTTTTGGGATTGTAGCGTCTGCACCTTCAGGAACAGCGCCGAGGCCTTCAAGTGCAGCATCTGCGACGTGAGGAAAGGCACTTCCACCAGGTAGGGCCGCACCTGGCCACCTTTGTCGCAGGACTTGCTTCCTTCAGTTGCGGGGAGCACGGCCTCTCTCCGACTTGTTGATGACGACCTTCTCCGTCTGGGGGATGTGTGTGTTCGTGAATGTGTCCATTTGGGGTGGGGGATTGTGTGTGCTTAGTGTTGGGCTCAGAGCCTCGTGTTCAATAAATTTATGGGAGGGAAATTTTCCAGATTTTCATCTTAATCCATACACACTGGATCTGACAGTTGTGCCCGTTGATTAATTGGTATTGGAACAAAAAAGAAAAGCGGTGCTTTGTTTATGGATTTTAAAAAGTTTGGTCCTTTAATTGTAAATTTGCCTTTTTCAAATTGGTTTTCCTCCCGAAATTTAGTGGTGATCATCCAGTACTACTACTGTTTGTGTTTTTTGGATGTTGAGTTGCAAAAGTCTGTTACTTCCTTGCACTTGATAATAAGTTGGGGTTTGATAAAGTGTTTTTTGTGGTTTTGTTGTTGTGTGTTTTGGGGTTTTTTTTTGACAGCTGAGCTGTTGGTCTTTTCTGATTAGCTTATGCACAGTGGTGATGAAGAGTAGGGTTCTGCAAAATGGTGAGGTGAATAAAATGATTCACTTGAAGATTTTTTTAAAGCCTTAGTATGAAAAAAAGGAGAGACTCCTTTTTCCTGTAGGTGAAGATGGTAAGCTGTATCTTAGATCAAAACCAGTTGGACCACTCTAGGTTAACGTTTTGATATACTTGGGTGTATCAAGTCTGACAGTCTTTTGGTCATCATTTTTCTTACTAGGGTGTTTTAATGTTCCAGAGGTGCGAGTCTGAAGTTAAACTTATTTGTTGTCTTGTAATTGTTGGACATGGGTATATATGTGTTTGTAGAAGAGAGGGAAAGGTTGATTCCTGGGTAGATCCTTTAGGACAACTTTAAAGTTGAATGCCAAAAGTCATTTTACAAGGGAACTTTTTTTTTTTGACTGGCGATCTTTCCTTACAGAGTAGTAGTCTTTAAAGTTACTGCTGGATATTGTGTCCTGTTAGTGTTTTATTGCTTTATTCTTACCTGGCGTTAAGTAGGAAATTGGACAGTCCTAAACAATAGAACTTTGGAATCAGTTGGTTCAGTTGCTAGTAGAACAGTTCTGTAAATTCTCTTAAGTAGCAAGACCTTTACAGAAAAGTACTGAAGAACTAGAAGTACTTCCTGTTAAGTAGTATTTCAAGTAAACTATGTGTAGTTGATTTGATAGTTTAGCCTAACAAAATGTTTTTTATTTTATCTTGCTATTTAAAATATGGAAGTAGCAAAAATTTTTAAAAATTCATTTATTGCTTAAGAGTATTTTTTTTTTAACATGTAGAATCCCTTAAAGGCCAAACCTTTTTATTGTGATTTGCTTTGAGTGTTACCCTAGATGATGTTCAAATAAATGACTAGGAAACTCCTAAGAATTTGAAGACCTTCCTGGTGAAGAGAAACTTAAGCCAAACCCCAAAGTTTACCTTCCATAATTGCTGAGAACAGTTACCTCATAATGAGATGCCTGTCAACTTCGAAGTATGTAATAGTCTTGATTAATTTGTTTCTTAGTAGCAAATAGAGGGTTTTGACTTCAAAAACTGTACTGGTGTTTATAAAACTTTTCCAGAGTCAGAGATGACAAAAAAATATATTGAAATACTGAAAACCCCCAGTTAATCCTGACTTTGAGCAACCCTAAGCCCAGACTGCCATGAAGTCGCAACTGTCTCACAGCCTGACCATGCAGCAGCAGGTTTTCTGGAGGCTGTAAATTGCATGGGAGGAGAATGGATTAGCAGTGCAATGCTCTATGGACTGCCACCAGTGCTCCCTAGCAATTCTATAGGACAGGGCAGAACTAACCTATAGGGTTTCCGTGGCTTAGTCTTTATGGAGATAGACTCTCTTTTCCAGCACAGTTGGCTGGTGGGTCTGTCTTACTACCTTTGGTTAACAGCAGAATGATTAACCACTGTGTCCAAAGGGCTTCTTTTATTAAGTTACTAATAACTAAAACTTTTAAAATTTATTCAGGAACTACATGCTCACCTACTATCTTTAAGGACTTTAATATTTTTTTTATTCGTTGTAGAATTTGAACACACGTTTCAGAGGTTTGTCTTAAGGCCTGCAGTTCTTGATCCTCTTCATAGTATCAATTTATTTCATCTTGTTTATTGTCAGTATTAGTACTTTGGTGTTTCCCGTCTATTTTAGAAATCTTTAGACTCTAAGGGGGAGAGATGAAGTGGTATAGTCCTAGGAAAGTGTGCTGCTAACCTAAAGGTGACTGTTTCAAGTCTTCTAGCACCTCTGAGGGATAAAGAGGGCAGTCTCCTGTGCAGTTTACAGCTTCTGGAAAAACCTGCTGGAAGGTCAGCTATGTGTTAGCTCTGACTTAATGACAATGAGGAAGAAATAAAATTTTAGTCTCATTAATACTGTGTATTTGATACGTATATTTGATAGGTTTTGATATGTGTCTTTAATTGTGGTAATTTTTCTGTTTTAACCAGTTGATGCAGTTTTTTCTTAGACTTTTGGGAATTTCATTTTGTAGTTTTGATATTTGGTGTGAGCTTGGCTGTATCTTGGTACGAATGGCATTAGAAAACTGTTGCTCTGTAGTGTAATTTAGACTTTTATATTGGTTTGTTTTGGGTGATAGGTTATAGTGAAATAATTTTCTCAGTCTATGGAATTATTTTAGAGTTTGTTCTAACTTGACTGACATAGAAATTGGTTTTAGTGCCCTAACCTGACGTCTTGTATTACAGTAATCTTAGTTGGTTTGTTCATTGTTTCTGTTGTTATTACCACCATTATACACCAGTCCACCAGAGTTGAAATCTATTCCTGGGACACTAAATAATTAATTTGGTAAAGAAAATACTACTATTCATCCAAAGAGTATGTATTAAATGCTTAGGATGTGAAAGATGCTGCTCACAGCATTGTTGTAGTTATATATGTTAGATGTACTACTGTGAACAACAAGGTGGAAATCTTCCACTATTCCTCATGATCTCTGCCATGTTCATTGTTGAAGTCACTGCCTCTGAGGATCGTCTTCTCTTATGCTCAAGGCTTTGAGGGGGGTAGTTGAAACGTAGCTAAGACATAGTCCCAGATGATTATCATTTGTATTGTAAAAACTCTACCAGACTGAAATTCAGATCCATCAAGCTGATCATAGCCTGTTGGGCTTCTGAGGCTGTAAATCTCAACTGGTGGAGAGACCTCTCATAGAACCACAGTGTAATACTGTGGACTGTTCCACCAGAGAACCTTGAAGGCTTTGTTTGTAATATACCATCAGGTTGGAACTAAATCTTTAAATTTGTTTTTGCTGATGTTTCTCTTTCTTACATGGAGCAGCTGGTGAATTTGCCTTTAGGTTGGCAGTGCACATCCTTAAAGTCAGTGTATAGGAAGTAAGAGCAGGCTGGCTTGGGAAATCAGAAGATTCCTCTCACCTCCAGATAGTTTTACAATTTTGCCAGCACCATTTGTTAAAAAGATTGTCATTACTCCACAAGGAGATTCATCTCCTTGTCAAAAATCAGCTGGCCGTAGATAGATGGGCTGATTTCTGGATTCTCAATACTATTTCATTCATCTATGTGTCTGTCATTGTACCAGTACCACAGTGTCTTGACCACCATGGCAGTGTAGTAGGATTTGAACTCAGGGAATGGGATGTCTCCTACCTTGTTTCTCTTTTTAAGGAGTGCTTTGTTTATTCTGGGCCTCTTTCCATTCCGAATGAAATTGGAGATTGTCTTTTCCATCTCCTTGAATTTGCAGTTAGTATTTGTATTGGGATTGCATTGAATTTGTAAATTGCCTTTGGTTATACTGTCATTTTCACAATATTGAGTCTTCCTAGCCATGAGCAAGGAATATTCTTCACTTCTCCAGGTCTCTTTCTTTTTCTTGTAGTAATGTTTTGTAATTTTCTTTGAATAGATCCTTTGTGCTTCTGGTTAGGTTTACTTCTAAATATTTTAATCTTGTGATTAGCTATTGTAAAGTGTATTGTTTTTCTTAGGTCCAGTTCTGTATTCTCTTTGTCACTGTAGAGAAAGCCAATTGATTTTTGTATATTAATCTTGTATTCTGCCACTTTGCTGAATTGGTCAACTATGTCCAGTAGTTTTCTTGCTGAGGCTTTAGAGTTTTATAAATATACTACCATATCATCTGCATAGAGAGATAATTTTACCTCCTCTTTGCCACTTTGGATACCTCTTAGGTCCTTCTCTTGCCTTATTGCTATCACTAAGACTTCCAATACAATATTGAATAGGAAAGGTGATAGTGGGCATTCTTGTCTAGTTCCTGTTCTCAAAGGGAATGCCTTTAACTTCTCTCCATTGAGAACAATGTTGGCTCTTGGGTTTGCGTATATACTTTTTACCATGTTAAAGAAATTCCCCTCTAATCTATTTTGTTGAGTGTCTTAATCAGGAAAGAGTGTTGGATTTTTGTCCAAGGCCTTTTCGACATTAATTGATAGGATTATCTAGTTCTTGATCTTTGCTTTGTTAATGTGATTAAGTACATTCATTGTTTTTCTTATGTTGAACCATCCTTGCATACTTGTTATGAATCCCACTTGGTTATGGTGAATTATTTTTTGATATATCATTGGATTCTGTTTGCTAAGATTTTATTCAGGTTTTTTGTATGAGAGATATTGGCCTATAGTTTTCGTTTTGGTGATATTTTTACCTGGCTTTGGTATCAAGGATATGTTTGCTTCATACAATGAGTCTGGGAGAATTCCATCTTTTTCTATTTTCTGAAGTAGGTTATGTAGGATTGGTGACAGATCTTCTCTGAATGTTTGATAAAATTCACTTGTAAAACCTCCTGTTCCAGGGCTTTTTTGCCTCTAAGGTTTTTTTTTTTTTTTTTTTAGCTTTTCAATTCATTCTTTTGTAATGAGTCTATTCAGGTGTTCGTTTCAGTTGGTGTCA